AGGCCAAGGCAGGAAGATCACTTGAAGCCAGGAGTTCAAAACCAGCCTGTGTAATATAGCAAGACCTGTCTCTGCAAAAAATTAAAAACTTAGCCAGGCGTGGTGACACATGTCTGTACTCCTAGCTACTCAGGAGGCTGAGGTGGGAGGATTGTTTGAGTCCAGGAGTTTGAGGCTGTAGGGAGCTATGATCATGCCACTGCACTCTAGCCCAGGTGACAGAGGAAGACCCCATCTCTAAAAATAAATAAAGTCTCTGAAGACAGCGTGGATTTTAGGTTTTTCAAAAAAAATTTTTGTAAATACATTCAGCCCTCTATGTCTTTGTAAAGTTCAATCCATTTAAAGTAATTATTGATAGGAAAGGACTTACTACTGCCATTTTGTTATTTGTTTCCTGTCTTGTAGTTCTTTTGTCTTTCTTTTCCTTTCTTGTTGTCTTCAAGTTTTGTTGATTTTTTTTCGTATTGATACACTCTGATTTTTCTTTTTGTGCTTCTCTAGATATTTTCTTTGTGGTTACCATGGGGCTTACGTACAACTTCTGTGATTATAACAGTCTATTTTAAGCTGATAACTTCAATCACATACAAAACCTGTATAATTTTACTCCTCCCTGCCATACACCCTGTGTTACTGCTGTCACAATTTACATCTTTTTATCTTTATCATTAACATATCTTATAGTTACTTATAATACTTTTATATTAAAATTAAGTGACTTACCTATTACCATTACAGTATTACAATATTCTGTATTTGTCTATATATTTATCAGTGCATTTAATACTTTCACATGCTGTTGTATTGCTGTTTAGCATCATTTTGTTTCAAATTGAAGAACTCCCTTTAGCATTTCTTGTATGGCAGGTCTAGTAGTGATAAACTCCCTCAGATTTTGTTCTGTCTCTCCTTCACTTTTGAGGAGAAGTTTTGCCAGGTATAGTATTATTGTACTTTCATCCTTTTGAACATATCATCACATTCAAGGTTTCTCCTGAGAAATTTGCTGATAGTCTTATGGTTATCCCCTTTTATGTGATGAATCACTTTTATCTTGCTGCTTTCAAAATTCTGTCTTTGACTTTTGACAGTTTGATTATAATGTCTTGGTGTGGATTTCTTTAGATTCATCTTATTTGGGATCTTTTGGGCCTCCTGGATCTGAATGTACATTTCCTTCCCCAGATTTGGAAAAATGTTGCCATTATTTCTTTGAGTAACCTTTCTTACCTTTTCTCACTCTCATTTCCTCTGGGATTTCAATAACACATATATTATTCCATGTGGTGATATCACATAAGTCCCTTAAGCTTTGTTCACTCTTCTATTTTTTGTTTTTTTTTTGCTTTTTCCAATAACCTATCTTTAAGCATACTGATCTTTTCTTCTGTTTGATCTAGTCTCATATTGAACCTCTCTGGTGAATTTTTTAGTCTAATTATTGATTCTTCAGCTCCAAGATATCTGTTTGGTACTTTTTAGTATTTTCCATCTTTTTGTTAAAATTCTCACTTTGTTAATGCATTGTTCTCCAGACTTTGTTGAGTATCTTTATTTGATTCTCTGTCAGGTAAATCATTTATCTGTGTCATTAGGGTCAGTTTCCAGAGATTTATTTTGTTCCTTTGTTTGAGACATATTAATATTTCCCTGTTTCTTTATTTTCCTTGAGTCTTTGTGCTTTTACCTATATATTAGAAAAAATAGCCAGCTCCTCTAGTCTCCATAGACTAGTCTCATATAGGAGAAAACCCTTGATCAATCTAGAATCCAGAGATTCTGGGAGGACTCTCAAACATTCACACTAGTCCAAACCACTGTTTTTCTTCTTAGCAGTTCTCAATCACCTAAAGTATGCCAGGTCCCATCAATATTCTGAGACAGGTGAGACAGAAGCCAATTCCATGGGCAGCTCCCAAAAAGTTGAAATATTAGATGTATGGTCCAACTTTTTCATCCTTCCACCCCCAGGGAGAAGCTGGGATCTAGCATTTTTCACCTGCTTGCTTTGCACTGAGCTGGAGTAGGGGGCTCTGGCAAGTGCATGCATGCTAGTTCAAACTGTCTTGTTTTCAGTGGCCTCCAGGCATTTAGAGTATGCCAGTTCCCATCAGCACCATGAGACAGGTGAAACAGAAACAAGTACCTTAGGCAGCCCCCAGAAAACCCTGAATGTTGGACATGTGGAATAATTCTTTTCTTCCCCAAGGAGAAGCTGGGAGCTAGGGATTTTCTCTGATCATGTAGCACTCTGCTGGGGGTAAGGAACATGGTAACGGTTCCTCAAATTTTCTTACCAGCCTTGATATGGCTGGTTTCATGCTTGCCCAGGGTACAGGAACCTCTCAACTGGTTTCAATTTCTCACAAAGGGAATTTACTCATGTATTTTTGTTGAATTAGTGTGTCCTTGGGGAGAAGGGTCCAGGGCTTTTTCCATTCCAAGTGATCCTTCTGACATTGTTTTCTCTGCTGTGTTTTTTTTTGTTTTTTAAGACATCAGTTTTATCTACTTTTTCTCTCCTCCAGGAATAGCCTAAGCTTTCAAAAGTGTCCATTATCTTCCAAAAGAAAGCAAAAGGATTTTAAGGACCATGAGACATCCATATTTAGATATACTAACACTTTCACTTATATGTATTTCCACCTATAAGACAATAACTTTCTTTTATGAACTTTATTAATCAGTCTTAGAAATAGCTTTTTTAAAAATCAGATAGTACTGTTAAAGATATTCAACAGATGTTGAACCTTTGGACATTTTCTCCCATAGAAATTTTTATCATCATGTTAAAAGGTATATGTATTAGCTTTGAGCGTGTGTTTTTAAATTCAACAACTGTCCTTGCTAACATGTTCTAATGCTAAATCTTGATTTCTATTCCAATCCGTGCAAAACCTGCATCTCTCCCAGACTTTGCCATCTAAATAGCATACCATTTACCTAGTTTTCAGACCAAAAACCTCTGAGTTAAGGATGACTCCTCTCTTTCTTGCACTTCCCACATCTAATTTACCAGTAGTTGGATCTGGGCCACCCTCAAAAAAAAAAAAAAAAAAA